GCACAGGAACTCTATCTCAACATTAGACACATAAGGGGTCCATGAACTGTACCTCAACATTATAGGTGCATAATGAGTCCAGGGACTGCATCTCAATATTGCAGAGACACATAATGGGTCCAGAAACTGTACCTCAACATTATGGGTACATAATGGGTCCAGGGACTGCATTTCAACATTTCAGAGACACAAAATGGGTCCTGGAACTGTACCTCAACATTACAGATTTACAATGGGTCCAGTGACTGTCTCTCAACACTACAGAGGCAAATAATGTTTCCATGACTATACCTTAACATTATTGAGGCCCATTATGGGTCCAGGGACTGTACCTCAACATTACAGAGGCACATAATGGGTCTAGGGACTGTATCTCAACATTACAAAAGCACATAATGGGTCCAGGGACTGTACCTCAACATTACATAGGCACATAATGGGTCTAGGGGCTGTATCTCAACATTACAAAAGCACATAATGGGTCCAGGGACTGTACCTCAACATTACAGAGGTACATAATGGGTCTAGGGACTGTATCTCAACATTACAAAAGCACATAATGGGTCCAGGGACTGTACTTCAACATTATAGAAGTACATAATGGGTCCAGGGACTGTACTTCAACATTACAGAGGTACATAATGGGTCCAAGGACTGTACTTCAACATTACAGAGGTACATAATGGGTCCAGGGACTGTACTTCAACATTACAGAGGTACATAATGGGTCCAGGGACTGTACTTCAACATTACAGAGGTACATAATGGGTCCAAGGACTGTACTTCAACATTACAGAGGTACATAATGGGTCCAAGGACTGTACTTCAACATTACAGAGGTACATAATGGGTCCAAGGACTGTACTTCAACATTATGGAGGTACATAATGGGCCCAGGGACCGTACCTCAACATTACAGAGGTAAAAAAAAAAGCCACAATACCATGACTGGAACGATAAACAAACAACCCACACATAGAAGAGAGGAGCTCACGACGACGACTTGGACCATTGTAAATGGTCCAAGTCGGACCTAAACGTCGTAGTAAGCTCCTCTCTTCTATGTGTGGGTTGTTTGTTTATTACAGAGGTACATAATGGGTCCAGGGACTGTATCTCAACATTACAGAGGTACATAATGGGTCCAGGGACTGTATCTCAACATTACAGAGGTACATAATGGGTCCAGGGACTGTACCTCAACATTACAGACGTACATAATGGGTCCAGGGACTGTACCTCAACATTACAGATGTACATAATAGGTCCAGGGACTGTACCTCAACATTACAGAGGTACATAATGGGTGTGGGGACTGTACCTCAACATTACAGAGGTACATAATAGGTCCAGGGACTGTACCTCAACATTACAGAGGTACATAATAGGTCCAGGGACTGTACCTCAACATTACAGAGGTACATAATAGGTCCAGGGACTGTACCTCAACATTACAGACGTACATAATGGGTGTGGGGACTGTACCTCAACATTACAGAGGTACATAATAGGTCCAGGGACTGTACCTCAACATTGCAGAGGTACATAATAGGTCCAGGGACTGTACCTCAACATTACAGACGTACATAATGGGTGTGGGGACTGTACCTCAACATTACAGAGGTACATAATAGGTCCAGGGACTGTACCTCAACATTACAGAGGTACATAATAGGCCCATGGACTGGGCCGGAAAGTTTAGACATAAAACAGTTATAGTGGTACTGTTCACGTCACCTGCAGAACATCGCTGTACATCGCGAGATGTTCCCGTGGATGATAATTTAGAATGTTACTTATAAAGTCAAAATTAATCTTGGATTTAATTACTAAACGTGTGGCGAGGCAGGTTGTATGTACGAGAGAGAGATTTGTGTCAACATCGTTGTTTGATGTGATGATTTATGGGCAGTATGCGGAAATACAGATAGTAAATAACTCTGGTTCATCAGCTGGGCATCATGTCGTGAGGATAACATAACAGCAGCATCAAATTGTTTGAGATTAAATTGACTCTTGATATTGATGTGGCACCTGAGCATGACGTCACGAGGTTACTTTCACTCTGGGACCATTGTTGTTGCTGCTGCTGCTTGCCACCATCCCACTGTCTGCCATTCATGCTGGAGTCTGCCATCTGTCTGCACATCCCACCACCACCTGCCGCCCCGAGACACCAACTGTGTGATACATTCACTCAATAACCTGATAGATAATACTCGCTCACCAAGAGGACTCTGGTCAGTGTTTCACTCGCTGTCAGCAACTCTCTGCACTCCACCGACATGCACACTTGGGTATGTAATTCCTTCACTCTCTACCTGTAAACCTACACACACACACACACACACACACACACACACACACACACACACACACACACACACACACACACACACACACACACACACACACACACACACACACATACACACACTTATTATTCTTGATATATGAAATAAAATAATGATTTAGAAAACCGATAAGTTGAAGAATGAGATACTTGTGCAACGTTTGGGAATCTTTAATGAGGAAACGTGTGGCTACACACTGGCTTCATCAGTCCTGTACAAAGATGACCGGTAGAAAGGAGAAGTTTAAGGTGATCAGTCCCTCAGCCTGTCATGTACAGCATATGTTGTACTTCGTCGATGTACAACGTGTCCCTTGTCCTCATAGTGGTGATCCACGTGTCCCTTGTCTTCGAAGTGGTGATCAACGTGTCCCTTGTCCTCGAAGTGGTGATCCACGTGTCCCTTGTCTTCGAAGTGGTGATCAACGTGTCCCTTGTCCTCGAAGTGGTGATCCACGTGTCCCGTGTCCTCGAAGTGGTGATCCACGTGTCCCTTGTCTTCGAAGTGGTGATCAACGTGTCCCTTGTCTTCGAAGTGGTGATCCACGTGTCCCTTGTCCTCGAAGTGGTGATCAACGTGTCCCTTGTCCTCGAAGTGGTGATCCAGGTGTCCCTTGTCATCGCAGTAGTGATCCACGTGTCTCTTGTCCTCGTAGTGGTGATCCATGTGTCCCTTGTCCTCGTAGTGGTGATCCACGAGTCCCTTGTCCTCATAGTGGTGATCCATGTATCCCTTGTCCTCGCAGTGGTGATCCATGTGCCCCTTGTCCTCGTAGTGGTGATCCATGTATCCCATGTCCTCGTAGTGATCAACGAGTCCCTTGTCATCGTAGTGGTGATCCATGTGTCCCTTGTCCTAGTAGTGGTGATCCATGTGTCCCTTGTCCTCGTAGTGGTGATCCATGTGCCCCTTGTCCTTGTAGTGGTGATCCATGTGTCCCTTGGCTTCGCAGTCGTGATCCACGTGTCCCTTGTCTTCGTAGTGGTGATCCACGTGTCTCTTGTCCTCGTAGTGGTGATCCACGTGTCTCTTGTCCTCGTAGTGGTGATCCACGTGTCTCTTGTACTCGTAGTGGTGATCCACGTGTCTCTTGTCCTCGTAGTGGTGATCCATAGTGTACCTTGTCCCTTGTTCGAGTGGTGATCCATGTGTCCCTTGTCCTCGTAGTGGTGATCCATGTGTCCCTTGTCCTCGTAGTGGTGATCCATGTGTACCTTGTCCTCGTAGGGGTGATCCATGTGTCCCTTGTCCTCGTAGTGGTGATCCATGTGTACCTTGTCCTCGTAGGGGTGATCCATGTGTCCCTTATCCTCGTAGTGGTGATCCATGTGTCCCTTGTCCTCGTAGTGGTGATCCACGTGTCTCTTGTCCTCGTAGTGGTGATCCACGTGTCTCTTGTCCTCGTAGTGGTGATCCACGTGTCTCTTGTACTCGTAGTGGTGATCCACGTGTCTCTTGTCCTCGTAGTGGTGATCCATGTGTCTCTTGTCCTCGTAGTAGTGATCCACGTGTCTCTTGTCCTCGTAGTCGTGATCCACGTGTCTCTTGTCCTCGTAGTGGTGTTCCACGTTTCTCTTGCCCTCGGATTGGTGATCCTCGTGTCCCTTGGCCTCGCAGTCGTGATCCACGTGTCCCTTGTCTTCGTAGTGGTGATCCACGTGTCTCTTGTCCTCGTAGTGGTGATCCACGTGTCTCTTGTCCTCGTAGTGGTGATCCATGTGACCCTTGTCCTCGTAGTGGTGATCCACGTGTCTCTTGTCCTCGTAGTGGTGATCCACGTGTCTCTTGTCCTCGTAGTGGTGATCCACGTGTCTCTTGTACTCGTAGTGGTGATTTACGCGTCTCTTGTCCTCGTAGTCGTGATCCACGTGTCTCTTGTCCTCGTAGTAGTGATCGACGTGTCTCTTGTCCTCGTAGTCGTGATCCACGTGTCTCTTGTCATCGTAGTGGTGATCGACGTGTCCCTTGTCCTCGTAGTGGTGTTCCACGTGTCTCTTGCCCTCGGATTGGTGATCCTCGTGTCTCTTGTCCTCGTAGTCGTGATCCACGTGTCTCTTGTCCTCGTAGTCGTGATCCACGTGTCTCTTGTCATCGTAGTGGTGATCGACGTGTCCGTTGTCCTCGCAGTGGTGTTCCACGTGTCTCTTGTCCTCGGATTGGTGATAATCGTGTTTCTTGTCCTCGTAGTGGTGATCCACGTGTCTCTTGTCCTCGTAGTGGTGATCCACGCGTCTCTTGTCCTCGTAGTGGTGATCCACGTGTCTCTTGTCCTCGTAGTGGTGATCCACGTGTCTCTTGTCCTCGTAGTGGTGATCCACGTGTCCTTGTTCGTATGTATCCCTCAGTCCGTGATCCATCAGGCTGTCGTATTTGTCAAAGTGTCCTTTGGGTCTGCGTCCTCGTGTCCTCGTCAAATTGTACTGATGTAATTATGGTTGTAGGGATCGATACCCAGCTCCTGTCCCCGCCTCTCCGCTGGTCGCTACTTGGTTCACTCTCTCTCCTGGCTGCGTGAGCGCTCATCATACCTTTTCTTAAACCTGCGTATAGCTCCCGTCTCTACCACTTCGCTGTCTAGGTCATTTTGCTTCCTGATCAATCTAAGGTTAAAGAAGTATTTCCTAACATCCCTGAGACTCGACAGTTATTTTCAACTTTCATCTGTGCCCTTGTGTACCGGAAACCCGCCACTCAAACCAAATCATCTTGTCCCGTAACTCTAGTCCGTCCCGTCCTTGTCTTTGTGTATTTATCTCTTGCATTAAAGGTCTTCGTCCTTATGACATGCACGTACGTACCGCAGTCCGTGGTCGTTGAGTCGTTGTGGTCGTACTTATGCACGTCCTCATACAGGACTCTGGTACAGTGTTGTACTTACGTACCCCAGTCCGTGGTCATTGAGTCGTTGTGGTCGTACTTTTGCACGTCCTCATACTGGACTCTGGTACAGTGTTGGACTTACGTACCGTAGTCCGTGGTCGTTGAGTCGTTGTGGCCGTCCTCATACAGGACTCTGGTACAGTGTTGGACTTACGTACCGTAGTCCGTGGTCGTTGAGTCGTTGTGGTCGTCCTCATACAGGACTCTGTACTCGTTGGACTTACGTCCGTAGTCCGTGGTCGTTGAGTCGTGTGGTTCGTCCTCATACAGGACTCGGTACAGTGGACTACGTACCGTTCGTGGTCGTTGAGTCCGTTGTGTCGTTCTCATACAGACTCTGGACAGTGATTGGACTACGTACCGTAGTCCTGGTCGTTGAGTCGTTGTGGTCGTTCACAGGACTCTGGCACAGTGGTTGGGACTTACGTACCGTGTCCTGTCGTTGAGTCGTTGTGGTCGTCCTCATACAGGACTCTGGTACAGTGTTGGACTTACGTACCGTAGTCCGTGGTCGTTGAGTCGTTGTGGTCGTCCTCATACAGGACTCTGGTACAGTGTTGGACTTACGTACCGTAGTCCGTGGTCGTTGAGTCGTTGTGGTCGTACTTATGCACGTCCTCATACAGGACTCTGGTACAGTGTTGGACTTACGTACCGTAGTCCGTGGTCGTTGAGTCGTTGTGGTCGTACTTATGCACGTCCTCATACAGGACTCTGGTACAGTGTTGGACTTACGTACCGTAGTCCGTGGTCGTTGAGTCGTTGTGGTTGTCCTCATACAGGACTCTGGTACAGTGTTGGACTTACGTACCGAAGTCCGTGTGGTGAGTCGTTGTGTCGTCCTATAAGACTCTGGTACAGTGTTGGCCCTTACGTACCGTATCCGTGGTCGTTGAGTCGTTGGGGTCGTCTTCATACAGAACTTGGTACAGTGTTGGATTACGTTACGTATCCGTGGTCGTTGCAGTCTTGGTTGTCCTCATACAGGACTCTGGTACAGTGTTGGATTACTACCGTAGTCCGTGTCGTTGAGTCGTTTGGTTGTCCTCATACAGACTCTGGTACAGGTGTTTGACTTACGTACGTAGTCGTGGTCTTGAGTCGTTTGGTTGTCCTATACAGGACTCTGGTACAGTGTTGACTTACGTACCATAGTCCGTGGTCGTGAGTCTTGTGGTCGTCTCATACAGGACTCTGGTACATTTGTTGGACTTACGTACGTAGTCCGTGGTTTGATCGTTGTGGTCGTCCTCATACAGCATTTGGGTCGTGTGGACTCTCAGCCCCTGTTTTATTAGTTGTGTATTACTACAATGTTGACTACGTGTGTTGTGTGTACTCTGGACTTGTACTCGGTCTTGTATCCTGGTCTTGTATCTCTGGTGCTTGTATTTGGTTGTAATCGGTGCCTTGTACTCTGGTGCTTGTACTCTGGTGCTTGTACTCTGGTGCTTGTACTCTGGTGCTTGTACCTAGCAGTGCTTGTACCTAACAGCGCTTGTACCTAGCAGTGCTTGTACCTACCAGTGCTTGTACCTAGCAGTGCTTGTACTCTGGTGCTTGTACTCTGGTGCTTGTACCTAGCAGTGCTTGTACTCTGGTGCTTGTACCTACAGTGCTTGTACTAGTGTTGTACCTAGCAGTGCTTGTACCTAGCGGTGCTTGTACTCTGGTGCTTGTACTCTGGAGCTTGTACTCTGGCGCTTGTACTCTGGTGCTTGTACTCTGGTGCTTGTACTCTGGTGCTTGTACTCGTTGCACCTGGTGCATGTACCTGGTGCTTGTGCTAGCAGTGCTGTACCTGGTGCTTGTACCGGGTAGCTGTACTCTGGTGTTGTACTCTGGTGCTTGTACTCTGGGCTTGTACCTAGGAGTGCTGTCCCTAGCAGTGCTTGTACCTAGCAGTCCTTGTACCTAGCAGTGCTTGTACCTAGCAGCGCTTGTACTAGCAGTGCTGTACCTCGCAGCGCTTGTACCTAGCAGTGCTGTACTGTGCTTGTACTCTGGTGCTTGTCTCTGGTGCTTGTACTCTGGTACTTGTCTCTGGTGCTGTACCTAGCAGT